ACCACGCGTGCGTGGTTCCCGCGTATGGCCCGTGAGGGTTCCTGGCGCGAAAATCGCTTACTCGGGAACAAGGGAAGCTGGGAAGCTGAAATTTTCAGTGAATGTTTCTGGCACAAGTACAACTTAAAATTAACAAACTCAGCCCCTAATCGCGTGTGGTACTTACGTACAGCCCCATGAAATTTTTTGCCGAGAAAATGGCTAACTCAGGAACCAGGAAAGCTGGGCGGCTGAAATTTTCGGGAAATGTTCCCAGTACATGTAGAACTTAAATTTAACAAAATCAGCTCCCAGGCGTCCGTGGTTATCACGTACGTAGTTATCACGTACGGCCCCGTGAATTTTTTTGGCGCGAAAATGGCTAACTTAGAAACCAAGAAAGCTGGGAGGCTGAAATTTTCAGGTAATATTCCCAGCACAACTAAAACTTAAAATTATCAAATTCAGCCCCTTCAGTGCAAATGGTTCTCACGTACGGTCCCGTGAAATTTTTTGGCACGGAAATGACTAACTCGGGAACCAGAAAAGCCCGGAGGCTGAAATTTCCAGGAAATGTTCCCAACCTATGTACATCTTAAATTTACCAAACTCAGCCCCCCCGGGCGCATGGGGTTGTAATGTACGGCCCTGTGAATATTTTTGGCAGGTGAATTGCTAATTCAAGAAGAAAATTTGAGAAGCTGAAATTTCGCCGAAATGTCCGCTGTCCAGATACCGCGTAGACAATTAATTTCCCAGACTTCGAGGACCAGTATATCACACATTTCTAGCTACCGGGTTTCCGAGCGATCTCATTACAGCACGAAATATTGCAAAAACGCATGATCGCACGGGCCCGCCTAGTGCGCGTCGCCAATGATTTTTTCTGGTTCAAAATCGAATGCAAGAATGCGTATTGTGACAAACCGGTGTGTGCGTGTGCGTGTGTGTGTGTGTGTATGTTTATGTGTGCATGCGTGTATGCGTTTGTCCGGGTATTTCAACTTGGCGACCAAGCAGGCTTCGGCGCTGAGATTTTGCACTGAGTTCTCCGATCACACCAGGGCCACGGCACCAACCTTCACGCAAGCCCCGCGTACGAGCACGCATTAAATACTGCAAAAAGGCATGATCCACGGGTCCGCCTAGTCCACGTCGACAATGTTTTTTAAAACGCTTGTACAGTGTACTCTAACATTGATTTTAAGCTATTTAAATCGCACATAGGCTGGAAACGTCCTTGTGAAACCGCAGTTTCCTAGCTTCTGCGATCGCTGAGTTGAATGTGGATGAAAAATACCCGAAAACACATACACACACACACAAACACACACCAACAACCTATGCGTTTTTACAGTTGCATAAAGACTCAATGACGCTTAAATATAGAGA